AGCCAAGGACATACCATGGGAAAAGAGTAGTCTCTTCGATACATAATACTAGGAATGGCCACACCCAAGGGAATAAAACTGGACCAGTATCTTACACCATACAACAGAAACCAACTGAAAATGGGTTAACTACCTGAGCTTAAGACTTGAAATAGTAAAACTCCCAGAAGAAAACCTAGGAAGTAAACTCGTTGACATGGGTTTTGGCGAGGATTTTTTTTAATCTTACATCAAAGGCAAAGGCAACAAAAGCAAAAATAAACATGGGACTACAGCATAGTTAAAAGCTTCTGCATGACAAAGGAGACCAACACAATTCAAAGGCAATCCCTGAAATGGGAGGCATTATTTGGTAAGGGGCCAATATCCCAAATATAGGATGCCCAGAAAGCAGGCATGCCTTGTTTTAGTGTACTTTGCTTTATTGCACTTCACACTAATGCAGGGTTTTTGTTTTGTTTTTAACAAACTGAACGTTTGTGGCAACCCTGCATTAAGCAAATTGTACTTGTGTCATTTTTTTCAATAGCACTTGCTCACCTTTGTCTTTATGTCACATTTTCATAGTTTTCACAATACTTCAAACTTTTTTGCTGTAATTAAATTTGTTAAGGTGATCTGTGGTCTTTGATATTACCATTGTAATTGCTTTGGGGCACCATAAACCCCACCTATCTAAGACAACAAACTGTGTGTGTTCTGAATGCTCTAAAGACCAGCTGTTTCCCCAGCCCTTTTTCTGTGCTTGGGCCTTCCTATTCCCGGAGATGAAATGATATTGAAATTAGGCCAATTAATAACCCTGCAATGGCCTCTAAGTGTTCAAGTGAAAGGCAGAGTCACATGTCTCTCACCTTAAATTAAAAGGTAGACATGATTAAGTTTAGTGAGGAAGGCATTTCAAAGGCCAGACCTGGCTCAAACCTAGGCCTCTTGCACCAAATATTTGGCCGAGGCATGAATGCAAAGGGAAGGTTCTTGAAGGGAATGAAAAGTGCTATTCCAGTGAATACACATATGATAAGAAAGTCAAACAGCCTTATGGCTGACATGGAGAGAGTTTTAGTGGTCTGGATAGGAGATCAAACCAGCCCCAACACTGCCTATGCCAAAGCCTAATCCACAGCAAGGCCTTAATTCTCTTCATACCTATAAAAGCTAAGAGAGATGAGGAATCTGCAAAAGAAAATTTTGAAGCTAGCAGAGGTTAGTTCTTGAGATTAAAGCAAAGAAGCCAGCTCTGTAACATAATAGTAAAGGTAAAGCAGCAAGTTATCCAGATACTGAGGTAATCAATGCAAGTGGCTATATTAAGCAACAGGTTTTTTTAAAAAATGGAAAAAATTATTTCCATTAATTACCATGTAGTATATTATTCGTTTCAGAGGTAGAGTTAAGGAATTCATCAGTTGCATATAATACCTAGTACTCATTACATCATGTGCCTCCCCCTTAATGCCCATCACCCAGTTACCTCATCCCACCACTCATCTCCCCTCTAGCAACTTCCTAACTATAGGAAACAAACAGGGTTACAACAGGTTTTCAGTATGGATGAAACAGCCTTCTATTGGAAAAAGGTGTCATCTTATTACTTTCATAGCTAGAGATGAGAAGTCACCACCCATCTTCAGAGGACAGACTGTCTGTCTTGTTAGGGGCTAATGAGCTGGTGACTTTAAGTTGAAGTCAGTGCTCGTTGACCATTCTAAAGATCCCAGGGCCCTTACGAATTATGCTCAGTCCACTCTACCTATACTCTATCAATGGAACAACAAAGCTTGGAGAACAGCACATGACATCATGGCTTATTGAACATTTGAAGCCCACTGTTGAGACCTAGTACTGAGGGGGAAAAATCCCTTTCAAAATATGACAGCTTACTGAGAATACACCTGGTTGATTCTAGCCCTCATGGATGACTCTGAGGGGTTCAAGACCTCAGTAGAGGAAGTAACTACAGATGGGGTGGAAATGGCAGGAGAACTGGAATTACAAATGGAGCCTCAAGATGTGACTGAATCGCTACAATCTCACAATAAAACTTGAATGGATGAAGAGTTGCTTCTTCTGGATGAACAAAGTGTTTTCTGGAGATACAATCTCCTGCTGGTGAAGATGCTACTGATATTGTTGAAATGACAACAGAGGAGCTAGGATACTACATAAACTTAGTCAGTCAAGCAACAGGGTGTGAGAGGATTGACTTTAATTTTGAAAGTTCTACTGTGGGTATAGTACTATCAGACAGCATCACGGACTACAGAGAAAGTGTTCCTAAAAGAGTCAGTCAATGCAGTAAACTTCATTGTTGTCTTATTTTAAGAAATGGCCATGGCCACCCAACCTTCAGCAACCACCACCCTGACCAGTCAGCAGCCATCAACAATCGAGGCAAAGACCCTGGAATAGGGGAAAAAAAAAAAAAAAAGATTCACTGAAAACCCAGACGATGGTTAGCATTTTTTATCGCTACAGTTTTGTTTTTTTTTAAAGTGTATGCTTTTTTAGACATAATGCTATTATACACTTAAAAGACAACAGTATAGTATAAACCTAACTTGTACATGCACTGGGAAACCAAAACATTATTTTTGCTTGCTTTATTGCGATATTCCTTTTATTGAATATCTGCAACTAGAACGGAACATGCACATCAAAAACTTTAAGGAGCTGCCACTTCACACCTGCTAGAATGACTGTTATCAAAAAGACAAGAGATGACCATTGCCGGCAAGGATGTGGAGAAAGGGAGTCCTCTGTGTTAATGGTGGGACTGTTAATTGGTACACCACTATGAAAACCGGTATGGGGGTTTCTCAGAAATTAAAAATACAACTACTGTATGAACTGGCAATTCTTGGTACTCATTTGAAGAAAATTAAAACACTAGAAAAGATATATGCACCCCTATGTTCATTGCAGCATTTTTTTAAATAGTCAAGATATAGAAACAACCTAAGCGTCCATCAACAAAGGAATGGCTAAAGAAGTGGTATGTAGATAGACAGAAGGACACCCGGCCATTTTTGACAACAGTGTTGGAACTTGAGGGCACTTCGCTACATGAAACAAGCAAGATGAAGACATTGTGCATGACCATCACTAATATGTGAATTCTATTAAAAAAAAAAAAAAAACTCATAGAAACCAAGAGTAGAAAAGGAGTTGCCAGTGGCTAGGGGGAGGTAGGGAGAGGTTGGCAAAAGGATACAAACTTTTGGCTATAATATGAGTAGTCTGGGGATCTAGTAAAACATGATGACCATAGCTGATAAACACTGTAGAACTGAAATCTGCCAAGAGAGTAAAACTTAAGTATCCTCACCAGTTGGGGAAAAACGATAAATATGTGGATAATAGACATGTTAATTATCTGGGGGGGAGGGTAACGTTTTACAATGTCTATCAAATCACCGAAATATATACTTTAAATATCTTACAATTTTGTCTATTAAAGCGAAAAGTTAAAATTTTAAAAAGCAAAATGAAAAAACACAAGCAAAAATCATTTTCATATTAAGGATAAAATTATGAGTTGTTAACAAATGAATGGCATTTAAAACTATAGAACTAGATTAGGTTACTTAGGAAGAAAGTGTAAATTTAAAAAGAGAGAGAAGTAACTGCTGGAAAAGTCTATCATGTAGAACGCATGGAGAGAAGTAGGTTGAGCTAAAGAGAGTAAGATGAGCCCAAAACACGTTTGGAGGAAACCAGATGTGTTGGACAAATATACATGAGAAAATATTTTAAGGAGAGAATATTGTACATTCCCAAATGCTCATGAAAAGTAAAATAAGATGAGGACCAAGAATGGATCATCATTTTGTGTTACTCTTTAGATTTAGGAGCTAGCTTTTGAAAATAAGCTTTTTTTTTTAATAGATTCTTTTGTTTCTTTCAGACTTCTCTTTAACTAACAGAAGAAGTGTTCTGCCTCAAAATGCAGCTCAAGATAGAAATTTTAAGTTTTTTACTGGGGGGGCAGGCACTGTATTAAACCCCAGTGACAAAAAACAAGCCAATGTTCTCTTCTCTGCGAGCTCAGAGTCTTTGGAAAATCATTCTGAACATTTTATTTACTCATTTATTTATATACATAACCTATTATTTGGGTTATTGGATGATGAACTTGGCATAGTGTATTTTTTAACAAGCCTCATATCTACATCTACTTATTTTCCTAAACATCCTTTATGAAATTCAGTAATTAAAAGAAATCAAAAGATGTAGAAAATGTTACTAACACAGAACCTAGGAATAAAAGATAAAGGATAATTCTGCATTTAAAGGAACTTAATGAGCTACCATGAGACGACGTGGGGGGGATCCAAATAGGTATATAAATTGCTTATATTTCATGGTTCTGTAAATTAAACAAATGTCTCTTGCTAGCTTAGCTCTTTATATTGAATATGTTTTTGGAGTGTCTTTTCATGTATGATTCAAATACACTATTATTTTAATTTTGGTGAAGGTCCAGATGCTACAAGTGCAGGTTGGTATGTTTATCTTTGAAACTGGATATAAAAGATATGGAAAATAGAGATCATTTCTCATATTGATTTAACCAGTCCCAAACTTTGCCTTATTGAGCATAATTGCTAAAATGATAATTCTTGGGTATTATAAAACCTAGAGTAAATTTTATAGTTACTCCTTATTTTTGTAGATATCTAGGAATATCTCGTACTCTGAAAGATTTTTTTTTTTTAAATTTAACAACTGGTGTATTGGTCAAAACAGCATTTACTATTCTAGTATTTTCTTAGTCATCATAATTTGTAACTCAAAATTTAAAGCCTTCTTGAAATGATACTAGGAATATGGCTTTATTCAAAATTGCTGTTACTATAAAATCCAGGGTAATGTCATTTATTTGGGTTTAAATTAAAACCATTTTATCAGGGGAGTTCAGAAGTGGACTAAACATGGGTGCTCTGAAAAATGGCTAAGGATTTCTTCAGGATTTTTCTTTCTCCTTTTCTTTACAACAGGAGGATTATACTGACTGTGGTGGTGTTTCTGGATTGAATCCCTCCCTGTGGTCCATCATCGGAGTCCAGTTTGTTCTACTTTGGCTTTTATCTGGCAGTAGACACTGCCAGTTATGACCTTCTAAAACTCAGTCTGCATAATTAAACTCCAGACCCTGCCAAAACATGAGCCCTCAGTTGCGTTCAAATAGGGTCAACTGTGGAATGAGCAGAACACTAGCTGGGCCCATACCATCGCTAAATCTAAGGCGCAGACTCATATGGCCCCCACTGGCTGCATGTCAGGGTCTCAGATCCTTAAACTTGTGTGAATGCTGCATCATCTATGTATAACATCAAAGCAAAATTCTATACATGCTCTATTGGAAAATTGGAGAGTTCATTGTTTGCATTGTTGGTGATTATATGTAAAAGGGCTCCCCATACTGTTTATGAATCCTACAAATTGTCTTGACCTTGACCTGGAATTTTGACCTGCTGCAATTCTTGTTCTTTTACCAAGAAAATCTCTAGAGGGAAAAAAAAAAAAAGGAGTTATTTTTGCCTTCACGTATTCTTTTGTTAAAAATCATTTCTTGCTTTGAGTAGTTATTATTGAAAAATAAAATAGGGAGAGATGGATGTAATCTGTTGAAATAGAAATAATGGCTAATTTTCTACAAAAAGAAATTTGCCATAAATAAAATGCCTTATGAAGAATGGCTTCTCTGCCAAAAACAGAACACAAGTGATGACCAATTAAGTTTTGCTGGGGTAATGAATTGATGTTTAAAAATAATAACTAAGAAACTATTAAACTAAAGGTGCTTGAAGATGCAATTTGAACATGTGACATATTTCCTCATAAATGTAAGCCCTTAATGCTTCGATGTAATGTTTCTTTTGTTCACAGTAAAGTTATGTAGTGCTAGCCAAATAATTCAAAATGCTCTAAGAGAAGCTTGTTGGGGGGGAGGGGTAAACGTCTTTTCTTGTGATAAATGAACTTTGGTTACCAAGGGTATTTTGCATGATGCTGCTGCTATTTTAACTTTTGGTTTGTTTTTCTCTTACTGTAGAGTATAGTCCTTTGAAAAGTTAACTGAGTGACATTATTGTTATGTAAGACTCTGAACCTTGCAGTGTAATGCACTTAAGTCATCCTTTAAAATGTCGTTAAATTACTCTGAATATACTGTGCAATGTCAATGCCGAATGACTGGGGTAGGTAAATGGTGAAATGGGAATTAATGGATTTTATACAGACTCATGCTTTTGCCTGAAAAACCTATGTACAGATATTTTAAGTACATAAATCAGATTTGACACATTTATTTTTTGAAGAGTACATATATGTTCTCAATGAAGATTCACACTAGGTTTCCTCTTTGTTCGTTTGAATAGGAGCACATATGCTCCAGACATTTCCACCGCTGCTGCTTTTCTCCTCACCGTTGTAAAAGGTAGATACGATCACGTGACCAAGATTCCATGCAGTTTGATGACGGTTTTATAATAATCTGAACAAATAGGAAACCTTGAATCTGTATGTATGCACACGAATACTTGATTGTGAATACTCAAAATTGTTTTTCTACAGCCTCACTGGTGAAAATGATTAGTGTAGTAAACCGGGTACTTCAATATAGAGTAATATGGTAGATTATTATTTATGCTTTTAAAAATAATTTTTAGGAGTCATCAGTGTTTGAAGAAAGGGTAAAAACAACGAATGTGTAATTCTAGTTCAACTGAGTAATTCTGCCGAAGGCTGGAAGTATACAAATATTTTTTATGGTGAAATACATTTGTTCTTATTTTGAACATGCCAAATATTGGTGTGTGTCTATGCTGGACATTTTCTTATACATCATTTTTAAGTCAATACCTTATTAACATTATCCAGCATGCTTTAAGATGCTCCGCATATCAAAGACATAACCAAGTCTTTAGCATAGTTTAAAATACGTTTGTTTTGTTTTTAGCTTTGCAGACATTCGTAATTCCCTCCCACCACCGATATGCCGTGGGAACATTTTGTGTATATTTCCTTATTTAAACTATTTTTTATTTAAAAATGGGGGTGGGTGGGAATGGAATCACTTTGCCAGCTATTGTTCTAGGAGTTGACGTCAGTTACCATTTCTAACGCATTGTTGTGATTTTGTAGTCTCATTTGTAACTGGTATTGACGTTTTAGAAAACACCAAAGTGATTAAAAAAAATGAAACTTCTCACTCTAGTGACACTATGTTTCAATCATGTTGTTTGTTGATTACATATTTAAAACTTATTGTTAACTTTTGCTAGACTCTTTTAAATCATGAAAGTGTTGGGAAGGGGATATCAAAATATAAAATTATGTTAGTTCATGTGTATCTATGACGCACATTAAAACAACTGAATTGCTTCCAGCATACAACAAACTACCTTAAAATTATCTTTAAAATCTATTAAATATATTTTCATGGCTAATGTCACTGAAATAGTGTTTTCATCATCTGCATTACTGTTGCATTAATCACAGTTGAACTTGGCATCTCTTGGCAGGGTCCTGTTGGTTCCATTTGCCATCAAAATATATTTACATGCACGAATCTTGCTTGATCCTTGTTTTTCTGTTATAAAATAAACCTATATATGAGAACCACGTACTTGGTGATAAATTGGGTAAGAACGTGCTTTCTGACTAAAAACTGGTCTCATGCCTCACTCATATGAGACTTGATACTTTTAGCATTTTTTTCAAAGACAGTAACACTCATCCCATCAAATTGTCATATTTAATTTAGGATTTTTTTGTCTGAGTTCTAATTCTTGACAAGAACTCAAATTATATAGCCTGTCATAAATACTGATTTCAAAGACTAAATGATCGAGAAAAAAAGCTTTTAAACTCTTCGGCTTCTTTCACTTTTGCTCTACTCATCCAGTTTAATGTAGTTTGTCGTTAGAACAAAATCAAAGTAAAGTCTTAACGTTGGTGTTGAGTAACAGGAATGACTTTAACATTAATGGTTTCTTTATATTTTCTTCATTTGAACAACCAGCATTACTGCCAAACACCAATCGTGGTCCATATTTGTAACAGATTTTTAACATGACATAGTTAGCAAGTTTGATTGAAGAGATTTTTAGGTCCTGGGCCTATAAGATTTTAGTATGATCTTTTTTCATGTTTCTAATGCTTGAGGCGTTATTGCTTTACTTGGGGGAAAAAAAAAACCCACAAAACAAAACAGTGTTGCTGCCATTTGTAAGTTTTCCTAGAATATTCCTTTTATTAACTTTAAAACTGGCCTTACTGGGTTCAAATAGGCAGTATCCCTTTTAAGTGACCTTTGCAACCCAAGTGTTACTTGCTTATTTGATGCTCTCTTCTATTTTATGTCTCATTTAAATCTTTCTCTCCACCAAAGCTTAAATTCTGTGTCTTAATTTTAAACTGAACTATTCCATTAATTGTTAGTTAACATTAAAATATCTAGCAGTAGACAGTTTGACCTTGTGAAACAAAGTGAGCGCTGTGATTTTTTTCAAGTGTAGAATAGAATGATGATTTCACTTGCCCCCAACTTAAAATATTTTATTACCATCTAGAACTCGTGTTGTTTTCCCATTAGCAGAATGTTAATATTGCTAATATTTCGTGTACACTTCTGTAAAGAGCAAATCAATACAATGGAAGTATCAAGTGTTGAATAAATTCCAGAATTTCAAAGACTCAGACAACCCTTACCAAGAGTTTCCTCTACCTTATTTCTAGTTCACATAATCAACTCAAAGAAATTCCACTGAGACTAATGGGATACTGTCTTGTGTAGATGCCAGTTGAGTTTACAGTGTGACCTGACAAAGCTGTCTTTTTTGTTGTGCCGTATGATTGTTGGATCATGCTTTTTAGGGATACTTTTATTGAAATGCTCAGTGTGCATCCATGCAAAAGACCAACTGGCTTTGTGAACAAAAGATCTTTTCTCCCCTTTATTATGTTCTCTTGACACTTTTGTGGAAATTAACTAGCCTGATAAAAAAACATTTTGTAAAAATTTGTATAATACTGTTATAAAAATATTTATAATCCCAGAAAATGTTGTGTTAAATCTTGTGCAAAAACAGTATATTCAGAATAAAAGTTTATCATTTAAAGTCACCAGTTTGGATTACTTAATTACATGAAATCCAGTTGAAAGAGACAGAAGTTATCATCATAAATATATTACTGTCAGTCCTTCCTGTGGAGACTATTCAAGATAGTGAAATAGAACTTGGGATTAGGAAAGTGCTTTTACTATTGCAAACCTCAACTCACAAAAGTGCTTGCAACTCCTTTTCTTGCTCTGACCCTTTACATATGGCTTTTGCCATCAAGGTATTTAGGAAGTTCTTAATTGAGACTTTGGGCTTCTGTTGTTTAAAAACAAAAACAAAAACAAAAATAAAAAAACAGCAGAAATAAAAATATTGTTTCCATGTTCCTTTAAAACCTTGGGAAAATATTTTAAAAGAGACAAGTTAGAACTAATGAAATGTGTATATCTGTTATACATCTGACTTTTTTAATATCTCTCCTAGTTACATTATAGCTATCAGCTGCTGGAGGAGTGAGGTCTAGTGTCAAGAATTAAGGAAAAAGAGAAAACAAACAAAACCAGTTATGTTTCTTTTACATTTATACCCTCATATGCTGCCCTCATATATTCACCTAATAAATAAATGAGCCTGATACCATGTGGAATCTAGTATAATGTAGGCCTGCTTTTCTTTCCACAGACGCTCATAAGAGAACACAAATTACTACACGTGGGAGGAAGGCAGGATTCGAGTACCAATGACGGTGATTATTGGAAGGGCCAACCTCCAGTTTCTGATCAAGGCATTTTAGCAGGAAAAAAGCCTACATAAAAGTGTAAGGTGGATAACATTTGTTTTTGAACATCTGGCTTCATTTTGTACCAATTTATCTCCTCAATCAATCCTCCTACTCCCCAGACACCCTCATTTCCTCTATCAATCATCTTGAACCCATCTCCACCTCTTCCCTTGGGATCTTGCTTCATCAATTCTCCTTCCTCAAGCACATTCAGTCTCTTTCTGCAGGCTTACTACTTTCTGACTGCAAACACAATGAGAACACCTCTATTTAAAACAAAAATTAAACATCCATTTTTGCCTCTTATCCTTATTCTCCGAGCTGTAAACCTAGGATTCAACTCCTTCGCACATCCACAGTCTCTTCTGAAGTTCAACTCAACTGGGACTCAATACTCAAGGGGGCCTTAAAATTTTAGATCTGAAAGGCTTATTATCCCTGAACTTTACTTTTGGGCTACTACCAGTGGAAAATTTAAATTACTGGTATGAGGTCCTAATAAATTCAAGGTATTACATATTTTTGTTTATAATCAACCAACTAACATATAGTGTGTTATTAGTTTCAGAGTTAGAGATCAGTGATTCATCACTTTCATATAATACCCAATGCTCATTACATCATGTGCCCTCCCTAATGCCCATCACCCAGTTACCCCATCCCCCAAATGCCCTTCCTCAAGGTATTGAGCATTTCTTAATAGTCAAAGGCTTTGTAACTTAAAGTAGAGTTATTCATAGAGCTCCTACGTCATTTTCCATAAACTGGTACACATCAACAATGCTGTTTTAATTTTTTTAAATGGACATTTTTTAAATTTTTATTTATTTGTCAGAGAAAGAGAGCAGAAGGAGGGGGAGTGTCAGGCAGAGGGAGAAGCAGGCTCCCTGCTGAGCAAGGAGCTGGTTGTGGGACTCTAAGGAGCTGGTTGTGGGACTCTATTCAAGGACCCTGGAATCATGACCTGAGCCGAAAGGCAGCCCTTTATCCCAACTCTAAATATGTTTAAGAAGGAAATCTACTATCCCTACCATAATTGGGAAACCAATATAATTTGCCACAATTAGTAGTTAAGGCCACAGGTTCCTATCTATTATGAAAAATCCATAAACTCACTTAGCATATATCACTGTCAAATGTGCTAAATTTACCATAACACATCTTCAACACCTTTATTGTAATGATAGATTAGGTGGTTTTTCTATTTCCACCATTAATACTTTAAAGTATAAACCTAGACTCAAACATCTGACTATAAATTGTTATTAATACATTAAAAAATACAGGGTTGCCATGAGGACTAAATGATACAATAATTACCATAAAGCACTTAGCATAAGGCCCAGCACAGTGTAAGCACTCAACAAGGCCATCCATTAGGATTACGGGTTGTTATCCCAATCGTCTTCCTGATCATCACAGTCTTCATTTTGGGCTGGATCTTTTTAAGACCCTAATTATCTTCATGATTTGCCATTTGAAACTTTACTCATTTTTCAACTGAAGTGTTAGAAATAGAACCTTACATAGATTACAATAACAAAAACAGTCCCCTCCCTTATAGAACTACTACTGGCTGGGAATATTGAAACTTTCTAAGTACTGACAATAGTTTGAGGACATTGCTAGGATATAAGAAATAAATGGAACTATGGGAGCTGACAGTAAAATAACCCAGAGAGAAAAAGTTGGCCAGAGAAGCCTGCCATGATTTCAAGTTGAGGAAAGGTAGTCACAGTACCGTTTTTTTCATTTTAACATTTTTTTTTTATTTTATTGATTTGACAGAGAGAGAGAGATAGCCTGGAGAGGGAACACAAACAGGGGGAGTGGGAGAGGGAGAAGCAGGTTCCCCACCTGACTTGGGGATCCATCCCAGGACCCTAGAATCATGACCTGAGCTGAAGGCAAATGCTTAATGACTGAACCACCCAGGCGCCTTGTAGTACTGTCACAAAGAGAGCAAAGTGTGAACACTGAGATGTGCATTCAAGGCAGTAGAGGTAGCTGAATATGAGGCTCAGGATGGCTTAACGTGTGGGTGATGAGTCTTTAGAGAAAAGGGCCAGAGACTGGAGTCCTCCCTAGAACACATGACAGCAGGATGGAGGTGGAGGGGTGTTAGGCATTTGGAAACTGCTGGCAACTTCTAAGCAGAGAACAGTATGATCAGATTTGCATTTCAAGAAAACCACTCTGGATGAAATGTGGATTACTGGTAGAAGAACATCTATAGAAAGGAGACTAGTTGAGACTACTGTCAAGATGAGAAACTTGTTGATTAGCACAGGAAACTTGATGGATAAAAATGGACTGATTTTAGTAATATTTAGAAGGGGAGAAAGAAGAG